CACTGCTTTATCAGCAGAGCCATTGATGGCCTCCACCTCCTGTTGAAGCAGCTTCACATCTTTCTCCTGGTCCTGGATTCTCTGATTGATTTGTTGTCGTCTCTCCTGGAGCTTCTTCTGCTTCTCAGTCCTTTCTGCTCCAGCTAGGACTGTTTCATGGCCTTTATGTTCATCCATGGTGCAGAGATAACAGATACACTGCTGATCAGTACGACAGAAGATCTTCATCACCTCATCATGACGAGAGCAGATGTTCTCCTGGAGATTCTTGGAGGGGTCAACCAGCTTGTGCTTCTTCAGTGCAGAGACATCATAGTGAGGCTGGAGGTGATTCTCGCAGTAAGAAACTAAACAGACCAGACAGGAGTTGACAGCTTTCATCTTCCTCCCAGCGCAGATATCACACGCCACATCTTCAGGTCCAGCATAGCAGTGATCAGCTGCAGGAGCCTGGAGTCCAGTCTTTTTCAGATCCTCCACCAACTCTGCTAACATGGTGTTTTTCACTAAATCAGGCCTCGGTGTAAACGTCTGTCTACACTGAGGGCAGCTGTAGATCCCTTTCTTGTCCTCATTATCCCAGAACGATCCAATACAGTACATGCAGTAGTTGTGTCCACAGGGGATAGTTACCGGGTATTTCAGGAGATCCAAGCAGATCGAACAGGAGAATTTCACAGAATCCATCTGATATCCTTGCTGAGCCATTTTTCATCTGGTGGACAGTTACTGTGTGATAGGTTTCGTTTCCTCAGAAGCAAATAAAGTGTTGTTCAAGAGGTCTGTTAAGTTTCAGTTCTCTTAAAGGGGAGTGACGAGGGCAGGTTAATATTTAGTTAGACCAAGGGCGCGTCTAAAATACGATAAACTTGCTTGGAAGGGCTCCAATCCACACGAAGCAGCGGCAAAACAGACTAACATAAAACTTGCTGCCAGTGGTGCAGCTCCCGTCCCCAGTAAGAGGAGGACTTTTATTCCAGTGTTAGGTTTATTATGTATACATCATGTGCCAGAGTAGACAGAATAGAAGACCTTCCTTCACATTATGGGTGTCACTGTGTGTACGGAGGTCATCTAATCGGGACAGCCTTCGTGTCTTTAAGAATACACAGGATATGGGCACATCTTGGAGCCGGACTGATAGGAAAGCTATCTGTAACTCTGAAGCATAGAAGCAAGCTGCATGGAGTTCCAGACATGGATGGCGTGTCAGTTTCTGATACGGACAGCTAAGCATCCACATGATGCAACACAGACTCAGAAGGTATAAGAAGCAGGAGATGACGTTGTTCGAGGCTCAAACTTTGCCGAACGTTCGTGGACGTGATTTTTGAGACCACAGCTGTGCAAGCTCTAAGCATTTTTCTCTGTCCTGTAACGACCTGATCTGGAATAAACTCTGTTATGCTGCGTTCACACCGGGGGCAGCTGGCGCGACAGAAGCAGCGAGTTTACATGCAAAGTCAATGGTTGACGCGCGTCAAGGCGCAGCAAAATGTCCCGCGGCGCGTTTCGAGCAGCAAGCGC